TCTTTCTTATTCAGTGTCCAGCTTTCATATGCATATGAGGTTTTTGAAAATACCATGGCTTATAGTTAAGTGCCGTCAAATTGGTTCCGACTCATAGTGACTTGTATAGAGTTTACAGTGAGCGGCTGGTGAGTTTGAACCACTGACCTTGTGGTTCAAACCGACCTTGCGCTCTAGGTCTAGTGCTTATCCTACAGCACCACACCAGGACTGTACTGTAAGAAAGTCAGATGAAGAACCCAGACTAAAAAAATTAACCAGTTTGGTCTATATCTAGAGACAGAGCTAGGAATCAGAATAAATTCTGAATAATTATCTTGATGCTCTTTCCACTTACACAAAGTGATCTCTAACATTTGTACAGTTCTTTTTAGATAAGAAATGCTCTTATATGCGAAATCATTTTAAGTATTATGGTAGGAGCAGAAGCTTTGAGGGAGACCAAAATTGAGTGTGTGCTCTTAACCTTGCATTCATGTGATTATGCTCATATGTGTCCCCTTCCTTACTCTGGCTCTCCCTGTTCCTGTTTATTGCTGCTATAACAGAAATACCACAAGTGCATGGCTTTCACAAGCACAAAGTTATTCTTTCACACTTTGAGAGCTTGCAAGTCTGAATTCAGAGTGCTGGCTCTGGAGAGCGGTCCAGTTTCCTTTCAGCAATCTTAGGCCCAGCCTTTCTTAGAGGTCTCCATCTTGGCATCAGTAGTTCACTGAATCTAGGAGCTTTACAACACAGGGACCCCAGGTCCAAAGGTCCAAAAGACTGACTCTTCTGTCTTGGTGGTAGTAGGTCCTTCTTTGCACACTTTTCTCCTTTTAAATCTTAAAAGAGATTGAATTTAAAATACACCCTAATCCTAGATTGCATCGGACCTTAGGAACATAGAAATGAGGATTTATAACACATAGGATCATTCAATCAGGACTGATCACTTCAGATCACATCATAGGCTGATTACATTGTTAGATCTCATCGTGGGAGATAAACTACCTCCTAACTGCCAAACCACTGAGAATCCAGGCCCAGCCAAGTTGATGCAAAACTTGTAACTGTCACACACCCCACACTCTTTTTCTCTGTCTTCTACAGCCACTCCGCAGCAGAAAGATGAGGCTTTCTGCTCCCATAAAGATTTACAGTCTCGGAAACCCTGCACAGGGTCGCTGTGGGTCGGAACTGACTTGATTGCACTTAACAACAACAACTACGCTCTAAAGAGTGTCTGAGATATCTCATAGTGTTCTTTCTTCATCAGACTCAGAATTCATACTCTTGGTCCCTGGTTTTAAATTCTGCATATCCGGTTGCTATTGTTTTATTTAGCCTTAAGCATTAGTTTGAGTTGTAATACTGAATGCCTGTCTTTGACTGTAGTACGGATACTGGCACATTTGTATGTGTTTTTAAACTTTTATCTGTGGGTTTATGTTGATCAGATTCCTGTAAAAGTTTGGAATTATAGCCTTTTTGGAGTGACCATTCATGGACAGATGGACATGGTTATAGTTATCCCTTCAGCTCTTGTATAGAGATATGCTAAATTCTCATACTTGATTGTTGTTATTTACTCTTCAAATGGGTTGATTTGCTCCCTTAAATATTAAAATATTTTCAGCCCTCTGGCATGCCTTGAAATTCACATTTGTCAGTTACTGCTATTTTGAGACTAAAGTCTTTGATGTTTGATAGGTTCCTGAGGACAAAAACATGTCTAGTGTATTGTATTTTATAGCTTGCTATTAAAATAATGTTTAAGTGTATCTTAGGAAAAATTGATGAAAATGTGCTTGTTCTCTTTTATAAGTCATCTTCTAATATCCAGTCTGTTGCTTGGCTCTAAAGGCAAAATGGATTATTTGAGAATCTGCATCTAATAGTTATTTCTCCTTGGATTATCATTAATATCTTATTAATAATAATAATTGATAAGTAGCCCTAATTTTAAAAAATTACTCTGTGCCAGGTACTATGATTTATATCCATCATATATTTGATTCATATGTTACTCTGTAAGCATTGAGAAAATGGAGGTTAAGTAGCTTATCATTGGTCATATGGTTTGTCAGTGGAAGAGGCATTTCAGTATATGAGTGCCTCTGCTCCAAAGTCCATGTGGTTGACCTCTACTCTAGTATTTTCCCTAGTGTGGTCCTCAGATCATCTGCTTCATCCTGGGTGATAGTTAGAAATGCAGATTCCCGAGGCTTACCCTAGACCTATGGAATAAGATTCTTTGTGGCCAAAGTATGCATTTACAATGTCAATTGGTGCTAACGCGTTTGAAGCACTGTGCTATAACTGTTATAGTATTTTAATCTCTGTTAGCTTAGTACGGGACTCCTGGTTTGGTGCTGTAGGATCAACACTGAACTGCTAACTTCTGTCAGTTCAAACCCACCAACAGCTCCTTGGAAACCCTATACAGAGTTGCTACGACTTGGAACCACCTTGGCACTTAACAGCAACAACATCAGTCTAGAAAGATGCTAGAATCAAATGAACATTCTTATCCCTAAGTACATGCAAGTTTGGATTGATCTTTTTATACTTTTGTCTTTGCTTCAAGATTGTCATGGATTTTAAGCACCCAGATGGTGTTACAGTACCAATCATGCTGCCTCGTCGGAGTTTGCTGGTGATGACAGGAGAATCTAGATATCTTTGGACCCATGGGTGTGTATTGAGATGACCTCAGTGAGTAATACCCCACTGCCCTACACAGTCCCTTTTTCTCTCCCTGCTTTTTGACTACTCTGTTGATCGCCTTATGGAGTCTCAGTGTGGCACTGTGGGATAAAGCACTGGGACTGCAAGGTCGGTTTGAACCGCAAGGTTGACGGTTCAGAAGTCACCAGCTGCTCCTTGGAAACCCTATATAGGGTTGCGATGAATCAGAACCGACTCAACGGCACTTAACAACAACAACAACATCAGTCTCCCTTGCACTTTTAGGCCCTCACCTGGCCTTCTCTTGCCTGTTCATAACCTCCTGTCATCCTGCCTTTGCTCTACACCTTATGTAACAGGACTAAGATGCGCTGGATGAATGGGAGAATGTGCCCCATGACCAGTTGGCAGCCATCTCTTGCACGGCCTGGCCATTACCAGAGCTACAGTGTATCGGTTGGGGTGGCTTACAAAAGTATGCCACAGGCCCAGCTGCAGCCGCTCTAGGAGCTTGAACCACTGGCGACACCATCTGATTATTTCTTCAAAGTTACTGTAAATTTTGGAGACTGAGATGATTGATAAGTGAGAAGTAGCTGTAGTAGGATTCTCTGGAAGGTTGGATTATGTTGTTGTTGTGTGGTGCCATCGAGTTGGTTTGGCCCGTGTTGACCCTGTGTCCATCAAAACGAAACACTACACTGTACTGCCCATCTTCACAGTTGCTCCCACTTTGCCAAGTCCACCTCACTGATGGCCTCCCTCCTTTTTACTGACCCTCAACTCTACCAAGCATGTTGTACTTCTCTAAGAACTAGTCACTCCTGATAACATGTCCAAAGTTGTTGTTGTTATGTGCTGTGGAGTCGGTTCCGACTCATAGCAACCCTGTACAGAGTAGGAGAGACAAAATATTGGCCATCTTGGCTTCTAAGGGACATTCTGATTATACTTCTTCCAACACAGAGTTGTTTGTTTTTCTAGCAGTCCATGGTACTTT